CACTAAAAATTGCTTCTTAAAATGCCTTATTTTCCAGATTAATGAGGAAAACTTCACTTTTGTTACTTTCAAGACAGATGATTCTATCAAATGGAAGCTCATGTATTCAATAATTTCTTTTTGAGGTGAGATTTTACTTTTCAAGTAACAAGGGCCATCAAATTAACAATCAGTGTGAGAGACTGACATTTTTTAGTAGCCCGGTTTTCAAAAAACCAGGTATATATTAATTTTTACTATTACTGGGGAAAACAAAATCGTTCGTTATACTGAGGTCTTCGTTGTCTAGAGGTTCGTTATATCGAGGTTCCACTGTATAACGAAAGTTCGGTATAGAAAGCCAATTTTGCCAGTCCCTTGGGCCTTCGTTATATCGAGGTTCCACTATAATATGATCATATCAAAGCGAACGTGAGTCACTTGAAATTTTCGCAGTGAGTGGCGAAGTTTCATTCGGTATATATAAAGGACTACCTATCTCGCATGTAATGAACTTTCCACAACGGCGAATTCGACTCAGTGTCCACGCAGACTTCCAAATTTCGCAGTAATAATGCGTCATTCGATCGCTTCGTCTTCAAGGCGCCAGTTGTTGTTTCAATACCGTATGTACACAGTCTAGAAGCGATTTCTCGCGAATCAGTCAGGGTAAAGTGGCAATAGCCTAACGTAACAAAAAAGGCATCTGTATTCCTTGTCTCCAAACACAAACTCCAACTGGTGCGATCCGTATGAATACATGTATAGATAGTGACAAGGACCGATTTTAAGTGCAAATTGGCCTAGCTGTTAGTTTAGTGATTTTAAAATTTACCAGAATAACCTACTGCCGGAAATTTTGAGGTATAAAATAAAAGTGACTAAAGCAAAATACTCACCGAGCATAAGAATAATACTGTAAAGTTGCATCTTATCTTTTCTCATTGACGTGAAAACTAGTACACCGAACAAAAGATCTCTCGTCGTGGCAATGTGAGGAAGATGGATAAGGTGTGGCACCGAGGTATGGCACTGCTTTC